TTTTTCCCCATTATTTCCCCGCAGCCTCCCTGACCCTGGTGGACCTGGCGGGTTCGGAGCGCCTGGAGAAGTCGGGATCCGTGGGGACTCGGCTTCGGGAGACCCAAAGCATTAACTCCAGCCTGAGCGCCCTGGGGCTGGTCATCAGCGCCCTCTGCAACAAGGTTTGGGCTGAAAAAAGGGAAATTTGGGATTATTTGGGACATTTATGGGGTCACTGTGGGGTTTGTGTGGGATTTGTGGGGATTGCAATCGGGAAAACGGGAAATGGGAATCCGTCAGCTCCAGTCCTGGGGTTGGTCATCAGCGCCCTCTGCAACAAGGTTTGGGGTGAAAAAAGGGAAATTTGGGGCTCCTGGAATCACGTGTGGGGTGAAAAAAGGGAAATTTGGGATTATTTGGGGACATTTATGGGGTCACGGTGGGGTTTGTGTGGGATTTGTGGGGATTGTGATCGGGAAAACGGGAAATCGGAATCCGTCAGCTCCAGCCCTGGGGTTGGTCATCAGCGCCCTCTGCAACAAGGTTTGGGCTGAAAAAAGGGAAATTTGGGAAATTTGGGATTATTGGGGACATTTATGGGGTCACGGTGGGGTTTGTGTGGGATTTGTGAGGATTGTGATTGGGAAAACGGGAAATTCGGAATCCGTCAGCTCCAGTCCTGGGACTGGTCATCAGCGCCCTCTGCAACGAGGTTTGGGGTGAAAAAAGGGAAATTTGGGAAATTTGGGATTATTGGGGACATTTGTGGGGTCACGGTGGGGTTTGTGTGGGATTTGTGGGGATTGTGATCGGGAAAACGGGAAATCGGAATCCGTCAGCTCCAGCCCTGGGGCTGGTCATCGGCGCCCTCTGCATCCAGATTTGGGGTGAAAAAACCCGAATTTGGGATTATTTGGGACATTTATGGGGTCACGGTGGGGATCGTTGATGGGAGTTGGGGGATTTCTGGGATTTGGGAATGGGGAAATGGGAGATTCCGTCCGCTCCGGCCTCTGCACGCTCTGCAGCGAGGTTTGGTGGCGACAAATTTGGGGGTTTATTGGGTTTTTGTGGGATTTGGGGGATTATTTGTGGGGTTTGGGGTGAAAAAAAGGGATTTGGGGATGGAGAAACGGGAATTGGGGTGGGGGAAATGGGATGGGAGGTGGGAAATCGGGGTGAAAAAAGGGAAAATGGGGGATGGGAGAAAAAGGATGGAAAATAGGAATTGGGGTGGGGAAAAGGGATCAAGAATGGAAAAATGAGGATTGGGATGGGGAAAAAATGGGATAAAAAATGGGATGAAAATGGGAATTGGGGTGGGAAAATGGGGCAGGAGATGGAAAAGTGGGGTGGGAATGGGAAAGCCAAATTTTGGGATTTGGGGGTGGATCCGGGGTTTGGGATCTCCCTGGAATTGCCAAAATTCCCGAAATTCCGCAGGAGCAGCACATCCCCTATAGGAACAGCAAGCTGACCTTCTTGTTGCAGAACTGCCTGGGGGGGCACGCCAAAGTGTACGTGGGGGACCCCAAAAA